AAATCCAGGCCAATTAGGACAAAGTCAGAAACTACGAATGCTTAGTGGAGGCCCGAGATTTCAGAAGTGTTTCAGGGCACGATGCTCGGTAAGCTGGAGCACACGACCTATCCACTTCTCTTCCTGACACGCCAGACTCTGAAAGTCCTCTGTGTGCCCCACTTCTGCATAATCTGGATACAGGGAGTTATTAATACAAGCAGCGGATTCATTTTTAAATCGGGCTGGCAGATCTAAATTAGCATTCAACCTCCTCCCTGAAGTCTGAAATGTTTGACTGACGTCGTGTTTTTAAGAACTTAAGATGAGCAATGTTCCAAGGTGCCTGGACAGGGGTGACGCAGAGCAGGATGGAGGAAGAGAGAGGGCTACGCTCTTTATTTGGGACGCCCTTGAGCGCATCACAACGTATCTGCTGTGTCAAATTAAGTGAAGGGTAAAGGAAAGATCACCAGGGGAAACAGACTTTAACATACGTGTTTTAGATCATGCTTCCAACGACCGTACAGAGGAGTACAGTCTCTGGAGCTCGTCACATGCCTTACACAGCACAGCAATTCATCATAAACATCTACCTTCTACAATGAGAAAACAGAAGCACAAACGTCTAGATGACGGGCCCAGGAAACGCCTGCCTGCCTACCTCCCAAGACCGCTTCGGGGACCCTGTGACGTAACATACACGAACATGCTTTTAAGCTGGAAAGATCTAGTAAACATAATAGCTGCCTAAGCTCCCACAGCAAATAAGGTCATGGTTCCGTCACGGCCACTACATGTGTCTCCTAGAACAGCGCTTCTCAAAGGTACTGCGTCCAGAAATCACCTGGAGATCTTGCCAAAGGGCAGATTCCCATCGGGTAAGTCTGGGGAGGGGGCCAAAGCCCTGCTGCTACCTACCCAGTTCCTGGGCAATGCCAATGCAGTCCGGGGCCACCCTCGTGAGGACGGAGGCTCTGAAAGGTCACCCCGGTTCGCGGTGCATGGCTGCGCCAGTAGCACACATTTCCTGGGCTCCCTGCAGACGTGACCATCCCCCACGTGGGCTCTGGGGAGAGTCTGCAGGCTTCATCTGGTTCTGAATAGAGTGCTTCAAACTCAGTAGCAAAGTGTTCTTCATCGGGCCGCCCAAGAGCTAAGGGGTCGATTTTTAATTATGGAGTCTGCCAGCTCCGGTTTCTAGGACAAGAGTGGACAACGTGCAAAAGCCCAGAAAGCTCCTTTGCCAGTTTACTATTGTATGACTTCAGCTCATCTCAAAGGGGGGTCGGAGGAAGGGGAAGAACTCTGCCCTTGTAAACACACCCAGATACACACAGCAAAAGAACCCTGCCAATTCCAAATCGGCAGGAGAGACTGGATTATCTTCTGTATCTGAAGAAAAAGGGCTCCAAATATCCAGGAGGAAAAAAAAACAAAACACCTGAGCAAACAAGAAACTTGCAGACGTGCCGCTCCCTCGGGATCCAGAAGCACTCTGGTCTCGCACAGTCCGGCCGGGAATGAAGAGGGAACCCGCAGGGTCTCAGGCCCGGGGGTGTCCAGGCCAGCCGTGCACCAGAACCACCTCGCCGGACGAAACGCAGACCGCTCCGCCCCCGGAGTTTCTGACTGATCAGGCCCAAGGCGGGCGCAGAGAGATGCTGAGAACACCCCTTCCGGGCAGAGTCTGCACAGCGGGGAGGCTCCGCGTCTCCCTATAGCTGCACCCCCGTGCCCAGCACACGCAGCTCGCCCCCAGCAAGTATTTGCTGAGCGAAGGCCTGTTCGAACTTTCACCTCCAGAAACACTTTCACCTCCAGAAACAATTTCACTGCCTGCACATGTATACTTGCTGCACACATCTTGTACACACAGTCATTTAAGAGCGAGTCACACGTGCCCCAGGCATGACTGCCCCTGACCCGAAGGGAAATCAATCCCAATCGCAGACACTAGTATCACACTTTCCCCCTGACCCTGTCTGGACAGTCAGCCTCTGAGCCTTCTCCTGCTAAAGTGCGAGCAGGCAACTCAACTGTCTAAAGGATCCTAAAAAGAAAGACCCTCCTTGGGCAGGGCAGGCCGATTCATTTCACACATACTCACGCAGAAACGGAATCTTTAATCAGGACAAGGATTTGCGGGGAGAGCACACAAATATCTGTGTCCGCCTTGGAAACCCAGAGAGGGTTCTGGATGCCAGGGGACCACGATGCAGCCCCATGGTGCGAAGTGCAAGGGAGGTTTGCCGATTAATCCCTGACTCTGAGCTGTGCACAGGGGCTGAGGCAGACACTCTTCGAATCCTCTGCCTGAGGTGCACGTTACCATAGTCACAATCCTTCCGAAAAACAGGTGTTCCTGTTAAAATTAGCTGCTTCAAAGTGTCAAATGTTTTAGATCCCTATGCCAGCTTAAAAAAAAGTTTCGTAAAATAACCAATCAGATGTCACTGCTGCTTCCATAATCATAGTCTTTAGATTTTCCTGAGAAACATCTCCCTAAATTAGGAAAAAAAGAAAAGAAACTGAGTTTGAGGAGAACACACACACACACACACACACACACACACACACAGAGGCTCACACAATTTCTATATTTCCTAACATCGACCTAGAATGAATAATAGAACAAGGCCAAGCTTAAAACAGCCAAGGAAAGCCAGGGCTTTTTTCCTAGTGAAGTCTTGTGTTTGAAAGCCTTTTGTCCCATTTATTTGACTCAACGGTCATAAATAATGGCTTTTGTTCTAAGAATTCAGACATAATGATTTCCTTCTCTCCTGATGATTCAAAGGAAGGTTTTCAACATCCCCCGCCAGGATGGTGCCCATTAATCCTGGGTAAGAAAAACGTGCCCTTGGACATCAAAACAGCCCAAGGATGAGGTCTTAGATGAAGTCTAATGTGGCTCAATTAAAAAAAAAAAAAAATCAGGCCACTCTGACTTTATTCCTGGAACCAGTTATCTCTGCTGACCTTATTAAGCCCAGTGAAATAGGTCTGAGATGCTCCTTTTTAAAAATCAGGGCTATTTTAAAAACAAGTTAGGAAAGCGGGTATGCGGGAGCTGAAATGTCAAGAGGCCCTCACCTCCAGAAGCTGTGCAGAGAGATGCTATGTGTTCCCAGGTCTGGTTTCCCGAGAGCCTGCTGAAAAAAATACAAGAATTTATTTCAAGCCACCTGCTGGAAGAAAAATCCCAAACTTATCTTAGAGACAGATGGAGGGGGAGGGAGAGGAGAGTAAGACACCAGTGAAACTTTTAACAACTTCAGAGGACAGAGATCTTGAATAGCACATGACATCTTTAATATACAGAAATGTAAAGGGCCACCACCAGGTGGCTATGACAAAAAGCAGCTTTCAAATTACTGGGGTGGCAAGCTCTTAACTTGGTCCAAGTAGACAGGGAAAGCGAGGGGTTTTTTTGGCGTACATTGTTCTGAAAATTGCCTCTGAAAGGAATGAGTCCGAGCAACAACTGGCAATTATTTTCGTCAAACACCAAACTTACAGATTTCTGGCCCTAATCTTGTTTTACCTTGTTCCTTTCAGTTTGCTGTCTGTATCTGCATAGGCTAAATGAGGCAGATAATTAGAGACTCTAGAACAACTTCTATACATCCAATAAATAAAAGGAACAATTCCTCTATGCAAGCAAGATTGTCGCGGGCACGTGGGTTAGGCTTCCTCCCCCCGAAGACTTTCCGAACCTGGCTGACCTAGACTTAAAGAAGGGCACGGGGACAGGAAAAAACATCCTCAAGGTCATTTTCATTTTTTAAAGACTTTAAACGTTGAAATCTACCAGGACCCAGGAGAAAAACAAGAGCTCCCTTGACTGTTTTTAAGAAATGTATGTACACTATCACTTTAAGGCTTTTTCAAACATCAAATTCAGAACGGTTACAGGATCCTGGGCTTACCCAACACGGGTTTAAGGACCCTTTACACGTTGAACGCGATGTCCTTGTAACAAACACAGCTATTCAAGGAAAACAGTCAGTAGGACTCTCTGACATGTTACGGTGAGAAAGTCCATCTTCTCAGATCTGTGGGGACTACAAAGGCTTAGGCGCAACAAATCCCAAGAAAAGTGTAAACGGAGCAGATTTAAAGCAGGTATGACTTCTCATCCCCGTGGCTCCCACGGGGCAGGCACCGCAAATAAATGTTAAACGTTCCGCGGGGAAATGTCCAACACTTAACTGGGTTCAGCAAAAACGGCAACACCCCTCCCTCTCTAGTTTTTTTTTTTTCTTCTTAGAGTGTCCCCAGAAAGGACAGACTACCTCAAAATAACTCCAAACGTCAATTAACGGAGCATTCTTCCCGCATGAAATCAACTAGGGCAGATGTTGAGTCAAGGTCACCACAATCAGCCCTTTGCCTGTAATCATGCTGCGGCTCTAGAAAGTTCTTAACACTTTCCAAACACCTCTCCCTCTCTTACAGTCTAGATCCCTCTGCGGTTTTCCCTAACATCAGGAGTGCTGGATCTTGTCTGAATGGACCCGCCTAGTAAAAGAGGCTCCACACTCTCCTGGAAGCTACTTGCTATACTTCTACAGGCCCACGGCAGACCCTCCAACCCCAGAAGGGGGGGGGGGGCGCGCACACAGGCTTCGGGAGACCCTTCATCTTAAAGAGACAGGCAGAATACCAGTCAGACCCGGGTCAGCCTGAAACAGTGTCCATCAGGGCAGAAAGAGCCGCGGAGGCCAAGGGGGCTGACGTCCTTCCCAGGAGAAACCAGAAGCGAGACAAAACCCCACCCACAGCCCAGGCCTGGCTCCCCGCACCCACGCCTGTGGCACCTGCTTTATGCGGACAGCGTCACACCGTCCTCTCTGCTTGAATTCCAGGCTGCTCAAGGAGGGGGCTCTCCAGGAAAAAGGAGACCCGGCTAAGGAGCAGAGGCCGTTACCGGAGCACACTTCCCAGGGCGCCCTTCCAGAGAGCACAAGCAGCGTGCAACATCACAATTATTGAACCACAGTAATTGCAAAAGGCCGTCTGAGAAACATAACATTTTAATAGATGAAATAAATACTCCAGTACATGCACGGTAAAAACTTGACATCGGGGGAGGGGGGGAAGGGGGGAATCACTCTATAGTGTAAATTAAAAAATAAAACACACACTCACAGTAGCTTTTCCCCCCATCTGCAAATCACATGGCAAAGTCATACTCTTTCCACACCAAGTATACGCCTAATCCAACACGATTGCTTAAAAAAATAACAGCATACAAAAAAAAGATAGCTACATCCATGTCTAAGGAGTGAAACTGAGGTAACCTTTCTTTTAATTAGGAAAACAAAACAAAAAACAAAACGGAACCAAAAAAAAAAAAAGACCAAAGAAAGAAAAGAAACGAACCCATGACCTCCTTCCTGCCCGACTGGTAAGAAAATCTAGTGGAGGAGCTGCGGACAGGCGCCCGGGCGGGGGCGGGGGCGGGGGGCGGCCGCGCCACCTGCGGGTCCCCGCTGCGCGCGCGCAGGTGGGCGTCGCGGGGGGGCCCCCCCAGCTTTCTGGAAGGTTCTTCTGGAGCGCGTCTGCCGTGGGGGGAGGGGGGGCGGGCGTCCCCTGGGATTTCTTTGGTATAAATGGAGCAGGGCAGAGAGGGAGCATCTTCCTCCGGTGCGGGGCGGGGGCGGGCGCTAATTCACAGAATTGGAATTCACTGGCGGTAAAGTCCTGGGCGAAGACCTCTCCCGTAAAGCCTGAGATAGCAGGGTGCAGCCTTCAGACACGGCGCAGGCCGAGTTCCTCAGCCTCTCCCTGTGGTCCGACATCTTGGCGCCCCCGTCGGGGTGCTGCGCCAGATCCCTGAGGCACTGGGTCAGGAGCACGCAGGCCGACACCACGCTCATGGCGCCGCCCAGGATGGCGGTCTGCACCGCCTTGCCCTCGGCGCTCACGGCCGCCGCGCGACCCAGGAACTGCGGCTCGGTGGCGAAGCCCACGAGCGCGCCCACGGCCTGCACCAGCGGCCCGCTGAAGAGCGCGCAGCGGCTGCGGGCCAGCTCGCTGGGCGCCGCCTTCACCTCGCGCACGCAGGCCAGCAGCGCCGACGCGCTGGTGCTCATGCACTTGACGCCCAGCTTGAACTGCTCGCGCGAGAAGCGGTCCCGGGACTTGTCGCTGGCCAGGGCGCACGCGTCCGTCAGGAACTTGAGGTTGCGCGACAGGCCCTGCGACACCTCGAGCAGCAGCTGCGGCGTCAGGTCGGCCAGCGGGGTGGCGCGCAGCACGGCGCAGCCCTGCTCCACCTCGTGGCGGCAGCGCGTCACGCGGTAGCGGTCCACGAGCCCCGGCTGCGCGGGCTGCGCGCCCGGCGTGGCCACGGCCGCCAGGTAGGCCGCGTGGGCGGAGCACTCGGTCAGCGACACCACCAGGTCGCCCAGCTCCAGCAGGCTGTCCCCCGCCTCCCCGAAGCGGCCCATGTTGAGCTGGCTCTGCACGTCGTGGGTGAGGATGGAGAGCCCCTTGGTGCGCGCGATGATCGTGTCCCGGCACTGCTCGAAGGACTCGGCGGCGCCGGCGGCGGCGGGGCCCTCGAAGAGCACGGGCCGCGCCTCGCTGGACAGCAGCAGCAGGTCGGCCACCAGCTGCATCTTGCCCTTGCAGTGGTCGCACACGGACACCAGCCTCTTCCGCGGCTGCGAGCAGGCCCCCGCGACGGCGCTCGCAGGAGCCGGAGAAGCGGCCTCGCCAGCGGGCTTCCCGGCGCTGCCGCTAGCCATCGCGCCCGGGGGGCACTGGCATGCCGCTGGGGAGCCCGCTACCGCCGCCGCTGCCTCTGCCGCCGGCCCCGCGGCCGTCGCGACTCGGCTGGCCAGGGCCGCGGCGCCCGCCCCGCACCATCATGCCATCCACCGCGCCGGGCGGGGGGCGCTGGGCTGCGGCGGCCGGGGCCCGGGCGGCGCGGGGCGGGCCCGAGGGCCAGGGGACGCAGGAGGCTCTTCGCGGCGCGCGGAGGGCCTGCGGGAACCATGAACCGGGGCGCGGCCGGACTCACGGAGCGCGCTCCCCGTCGTCGCCGCGCTGCCAGGAAAGTCCCTTCTGCTGGGCCGCCGCCGCCGCCGCCGCCGCCGCCGCCTTCCTGGGCATGGCCCGGCCCGGCCGCCGGAGCGGGAGGGCGGGAGGGGGACGCTGGGAGTTGTCCTTCCTTCCTTCCTTCCTTTCTTTGAAATCAAAACCCCTTCCTCGGGGAGGAGCGCGGGCGGCGGCGCGGGCGGGCTCCGCTGTCAGCGTCCGCGGGCTCGGCGGCGCACGTGGGCTTCAGGCGCCCCGACCCCGCCGGGCGGCACTTCCCCGCGACGGCGGCCGGGGCCGGCGCGGCGGGGCGCGCATCTCCCGCCTCGCGCTCTCGGGACGGCGGCGCCGGCAGGGCCGAGGGTGTGGCCGGGGCCGGAGTCAGAGTCGGGCGGGAGCCTGCACTGATTGCGCACAGCGGCCGCCCCGCTCGCGCGCTCGCCCGCCCGCCACGCCCGGGCGCGCCGGCCGCCCCTTCCCGCCTCGCCGGCTCAGAGCGCGCGGCCCGGCGCCGAGGCGGCACGCCCTCCCCGACCGCGCGCCCCGAGGCCGGCCGCCGGCCGTGGGCGCGAGTCCATCCCGGTCGCCTGGTCGCCTGGGGCCCGCGGCGGCTGCGCTCTCCCGCGCCCCCGGGCCCTGCGCATCGGACGCCCGGCGCGCGTCTCCCCGGCGGCCGCGCCAACTCAGAAGGTCCCCGCCGCGCCGCCGCCAGCCGCCCGGGCCCCGGCTGCTGCCATTTCCGTCCGCCGCCAACTTCCGAGCGAGCCGGGAGAAACCGAAAGGAAGGGCGGGGGCCGAGAGGCCGAGGGGGGGGACGGCCGCCTCCCGTGCCCGCGCGGGCCGTGCGTGCGCCGCCGCCCTGCCGGGGCCGCCCGAGCCTGCTCCCTCCGCGGCCGCGCCTCGCCCCCGGGCTCGCCGCCGCCGCCGCCGCCCGGCCGTCACCTCCCCGGAGCCTATAGAAATCTTTTGTGTGGCGTCACCGCCTTTCGTTTAAATCCCGCTTCCTCCTCTCGCCCTTCCTCCCGCCCCCTCCGCCGCTCCCGGATGCTCGCGCGATGCGCTGCTCCTCCCCCGGGAAGCTGGGCGGCTGCGGGGGGACGCCGCCGCCCCGTGCGCACGCCGCGGGCGCGGGGCCGGGGGTCCCGCGGGGGCGGGGGTCGTGCGGCGGGGAGGTCCCGCGGGGGCGGGCCGGGGGTCCCGGGGGGGGGGGGGGGGGCGGGCCGCGGGTCCCCCAGGCGCACGGCCGGGGGCGGGGACGCGGGGCGCGGCCGCCGGCGGCCTGACGGGCGCCCTGGGCCGGCCCCGGGGCCGCTCGCTTCCTGCCCGCCGGGCGGGCGAGCGTCGACGGGGACGGTCTGTGCCCCGCAGGGAGGAGGGCGTCCCCCGGAGACCCGCCGGGGGCCAGGCTGCGCGCTTTGCGGGGCCCGGGCCGCCTGGGCCAGCGGTCGTCCTGCCCTTTGTTGTGCGCGCCCCTCCTCCCAGGGGCGCTGAGAGCACTGGGCGCGGGTCGGAGCGGAGCCGGCCTGGGGGGCGGGCGGGGGTGCCGTGCGGTTGGAGCGCGGGCTCTGCACCGGACTTCCTGGGGGCAGTCTTTCCCGGGCCGTGTAGGAGTTGTGTGACCCTGTGCGAGCCCCCGCCTCCCCCCAAGTGCCCGTTTTCTCATCTCGAGCTCAGAGAGTGTGCACTGGCTGCTGGGGGGCCTGGCTCGGCCGTAGCCGCGGGCTGACCCGCACGGTTGCCCCTCGCCTAACCAGTGCGCCCTCGCTCCGCGATGGGGTCGCGGTGGCCGGTTAAATACGAGGACCGGCCTTTGGAGGGGGACGCGGTCCCCTTTTACAGACAAGGAGCCGATGGTCTGACAGCTCAAGCGCCTTCCTAAGGACAGAAGGACGGCACGTGGCGGGGCGGGGGGCCCACCCCAACCTGTTTCATCTTACGTTGCTCTTCAGGAACTGGTCAGACACCTGGGCTTCCTCCCAGCCCCCCCCGCACCCCCACCTCTTGGTCCTGAACCCGGCCCCCCCGGGTGCCCAGCCCAGCACAAGCTGGGTGTGTCCGCCAACGGAAATGTTTGTTCCTCTGTCCCTTCCTGGGACCCAGGGTCACCTTTTTTTTTTTTTTTCCAGCCTGCCAGTTAATGTTACTTATAACTAAGATGACCTTGCAACTTACTATCCAAACTGAAACTGCTTTGAGAGTGAATTGTGAAATACATCACTTAAAAAAATGAACTAGGAGCTGCGAATACAGACCTGAATGGATGTAGTCACTCTACTTATAGCACAAAGTGTCCTTAGGTATCTTCTAGAGTCTAGTCGAACCCGCTTGTTTTGCAAACCAAGCCCACCAAAACGGACGGTTTTCTGAACATGGAGCAAATCTGTAGGGTTAATCCCTTTTTTCTAGGAGGGAAAATCAGTTGGATGAATCAAGCTCTTTCCACGCTAATCTAGGAAAGCGCCCTATTCTTCCCTCGCTCCAAAAACTTCTAGAAGTCAAAGCCTTCCCGCCATTCCCAGTTTATTCATGACACTGCCTCTAGGATGGAGATTTTTCTCCCAAAGCTACTTGGTGCCCTTGGGGTGATGTTTTCCTTCTACGCAGGCACTCCGTCTAGATTTTGCTGGAAGCTTCGTGCCCCGCCGTGAGCTCTCCCACACACACAATGTGCTGCATTTCCTTGGCCTCCTGCTTCACTTTGCACGTAGGGCGGCTCCTGCGCTGACCCTTCCCCATACTATCTCCACCTGCCTTTAGGTCACCTCACTTCTGCCGTCATTCATTCACTCCACAAACGTTGGACACCCAGCACGTGCCACGGCCTATGCCAGGCACCAAAGTCACATAATAAGTAACAGAAGGGTTTTTGCCTTCTCGGTAGAGCCCAGATGACACAAGCAGGTCATCACAGCTGCGCTATTGGAATGGTGACAGCACCGAGCATAGAAAGTACCGGAGACGCTGCTGCTCCCCAAACCGTCCGGTTGCAACCAGGCGGGGCCATGTGATCAGTTCCCGTCAACGAAAGGAAAGTGGAGGTGATGTGCCTCCTTCCGGCTGAGGCGGTGAGAAGCAGGTGCGAGGTTCTGCGTTCTCTCTCTGCCCCTGCTCCACGTACGACGGTGCAGGCTGCCTACGCCCCGGTGACGGAGCACACGTCCCCCGACCTGCATGTGCGTGTGACGTGCGCAGGACACGCACCCCGTGTCACGCCACCGAGGTGGGGCTGTGTCTCTTGCTGCGGCGAATCATAGTCTAACTTGATGAGCAGAGGGCGGGGTCACTGTAGCAAGGGTTTTCTCTCTAGAAAACTCCACTCAACGGGGCGCCTGGAGGGGCTCAGCTGAGCCTCCCACATCGGCTCAGGTCAGGATCTCCCGGTTGGTGAGTTCGAACCCCACATTGGGCCCTGAGCCCTCTTCAGATCCTCTGTCCCCCTCTCTCTGTCCCATTGTGCTCTCCCAAAGTAAATAAATATTAAAGGGGAAAAAAGAAGGAAGGAAGGAAGAAAACTCTGCTCATTATCCCTTCTAACTCTTAAAATAGAATATGAACCGAAGATACGATGCAAGGTATTTTTCATTGAAATGGAAATTGGGCGAGAGAAGAAAGCTGCAAGTATGTGGGCTGGAGGGTTGGCGGGGAAGGTGAACAGAACCTTCAGGAAGCTGGGACCAGGTGGAAGATACCACGGCTGGAGAACGTGTTCTCAGTGCCTGGCTCAAGGCCACGCTTCGTGGGCATTTGACAAATAAATGAAGGAGCAAGATGTGAATAGAGGGCTGCCTGAGGGTTTGGGGAGGCAACGTGGAGCTGACAGAGACTGGACCAGGCAGGGCCGGGAGACGTGCCTCTTCCGGTTTCCTGGCTGTTCTAGAAGGGGTGTCTGCCACCTGGACTCTAAGCAGGTGTGACACCTTCAACAGTATGAACACTCTGTTTGGGTTGATTTTAATGTTTTATTTTTGAGAGAGAGAGAGCGGGGGAGGAGCAGAGAGAGAGAGAGAGAATCCCAAATAGGCTCCACTCGGTCAGCATAGAGCCTGACGCGGAACTCGAACTCACGAACCGTGACCTCAGGACCTGAGCCAAAATCAAGAGTGGGAGGCTTAACCGAAGGAGCCACCCAGGTGCCCTGGGTTGTTTTTTTTTTTAATTTTTTATTTTTGAGAGAGAGACAGTGTGAGCAGGGGAGGGTCAGAGAGAGAGGGAGACACAGAATCTGAAGCAGCTCCAGGCTCCGAGACGTCAGCACAGAGCCCGACGCGGGGCTCGAACCCACGAACTGTGAGATCATGACCTGAGCCGAAGTCGGACGCTTAACTGACTGAGCCGCCCAGGCGCCCTGGTTGTTGTTTTTTTTAATCGTAGCTAAACATTCACAACATAAAATTTTCCATGTAGCCGTTTCTGTGAACTTAGCTGCAGTTCGGTGTCATTGTGTACATTCACAGCGCGGTGCGACCGTCCCCACCGTCCGCCTGCAGGCGTCTCTCATCTTCCCAAACGGAAATTCCGTCCCGCTAGCCATCCACGCCTCGCTCCCTCCCCCCAGCCCTGCCCACCACTGCTCTACTTTCCGTCTCTGTAGGTTTGTCTGCCCTGCGTTCCTTATGTAAGTGGAGTCATACGTACACTAGTTGCCCTTCTGTGTCTGGCTTACTTCACCTAGAGTAAGGCCTTCGAGGGTCGTGGGTGTCGTGGCAGGTGTCCGAATTTCCTTCCCTTTGAAGACAGTAATATTCCATCGCGGGCGTCTCGGCTGGGCTTTGGCCCCTTACGTTCAGGCTGCTCACCAGGGCTTACAGGCCCGACCACCAAGCTGCATCTGGTCTACGGGGCCCCCTGGTGGTCAGTAAGGGGCGTCCTGTGCCCTGATGACTCTTTCCTTTGGAGCTGCTGTGCCTAAGTTTTGTTTGTTTTTGCTCCGGATGAGCCAGTTCTGTCCCCAGCGACCCTTCCTACACGCAGCCAGACACCACTCCGTATTCTCTTCCTTTCGATTCTCCTCTAAAGGACAGGAATGCATATCTGGAAGTTTACCCCTCCCCCTCCTTTCCCCCTGATTCATCCATCCCCACTGGTGATGAACGAGTGTCTGACAGCCGTTGGGCTGTGGTGCCTTAGGAAGCAGGGTCACGTTGTGACACCTCGCCCCCCCCCCCCCCCCCCGGCGTGTCGTCCTGCTCTCTGGTGTATCTTGTTCCCAGCACTTACGAACTCCTGGGGAGGGTCACATGCATTACTCCTCATCCTCCCTCCTCCCTCCTCCCCTCCTCCCTCCCTCCATGCTATCTCTCTGTTCATCGGGGGCTGAGTCGGGGAGGGAGGCCGTGTGCGGGGCTGGTTATACCATGGCAGGCACACAGGTCCCGAGATCTGGGAGGTCTGGAATCTTCTCCAGTCTGGTTCACAGAAAGCCCTACATAGAGGCGAAGTCTTGCTTTCACGGTGAATTCTTTACGCCATTTCCCAACTGGTGAATCATCCTGGTGGGGGAGTATTTTCCATTTTCCAGAACTCTGTAGTGGAGGAGAAAAGGTGAATGTCAATACCCCCGGTTCCCTGAGTCCCCAACACCAGTCATGCCGAACCATTTTTGATCTCCCATGGGGCCTGGCACATAAGTCAGTAACCACAGACCGACCAGCTTCATCACGCCTTCCGGCAGAGCCTCTCCAACCCCCAGACACTCGGGCATCCCTGCCCCCGAGTATCCGTACAGCCACCGTGTGGCCGTGAGCACAGTGTCTTTGTAGCGGTTGGAGACGACCCTGTCCCCACTTTAAGGGCAAGGACTTGATGTGTCCCTCTCTTCCCCCACACCTGATATGTTGCACGATCATCAATAAATGTTTGTGAAAGTAATAAATAAATAAATGAGTTAACCTGTATGCAATTCTCTGCCAGAAAGGGGTCCTTTCACTGAACCAAAATCCTGCTGCCCACAGCTCTTCCTCAGTCGTGGACACAAAGTCATGGACATTCAGGAAGCCACAGCAGGGGCATGGCCTGCATGTGGTCATGACTTATAGCTCACGGCTCTGGGATCAGAGCGTCGGCCTGAGGCCTATTTTCTTAGCAAGTGTATCCACCCCGTGTTTTCTTATAGCTTGTTGTACATGGTCCAGGGAGGTGATTCTTTCAAAACCGAGACTGTGAGCTCACTAAACGTAATATCTTTGTGCTGCAGAGCACAGGTAATGTTTCAGACGACACAGATGAAGGCCCTGCCTTCTCTAGAAGATTCAGATCTGGTCCTCAAATTTTCAAGGCAATTGCAGTATTATGGATAATTTGAATTAAGTGTTTTTTTCTGAGAACTTGAGTCAAAATTAGACTTTTTTCCTTATATGCTGGTAGGGAGAACAGTATTAATATTTTAGGGGCACCAGTGTGAGTATGTGTGTCTCACACCTTTTGGAAGACAACTGACTTAAAATCCCACTGCTTAAAGATAACCGTTATCCACATATGTACAGCTATTTTCCCCTGCATTCATATATACATACAATTTTAATACCATTTTATAACATTTTATTTAACAATTAAAATGACCGTTTTTAATACCAACAAACGTACATCTAGAAAGCAGATGTAATGATTGTGATGTTTCCCGTTGTATGAGTGCATGAGGATTGGGAATCTGCGAGTGTAATTTTACAGCTCTTGTCAAACATCTGAGGTGCTCCTGTTCTCCTGTCTTATAGAAAGAGTTACAGGGGCGCCTGGGGGGCTCAGTCGGTTAAGCGTCTGACTTCGGCTCAGGTCACGATCTCACGGTTTGTGAGTTCAAGCCCTGCGTGGGCCTCTGTGCCGACAGCTGGGAGCCTGGAGCCCACTTCGGATTCTGTGTCTCCCCTGCTCATACTGTGTCTCTGTCTCTCTCCCAAAAACTAAACGATAACAAAGAGTTACATAGGATTATTACAAGAGGTACATGAAGAAATACACGTAAAGCGCTCGGGAGAGTTGCCGCCACATCGTAAGTGCTCTGTATTATGATCGGCACTAGTATTTTCCTTGTCTGTTTCCTCAGATTCAGTTCTTAAAAGCAGAACTGCTAATCAGAGATCATGTACATTTTAGGGTTTTCATACCTTTCGCGTAAATTTCTTGTAGAAAAGCCCCCTCCCCTTCCCCTAAGCAAATGAGACTGCTTATTTCCTAAGCATTGTGAACAGGGTACATTCTATTTTTATTCCGGCCCATATGATAGGTAAAACATTATATCGTGTTTGAATTTGCATTTCTTTGATACCTAGAGAGATTCGGCACTTTTTGTTCATGTATAAACTGGCCATTTATTTATTTTGCATAAATAACAGTATTGTTCATGTCCTTTCCCATTTTCCAGTTGGGGTGTTCCTCTTTTTCTTACTGAGTTGTAAGATATTTTTGACTATGCTATGTTGGAGTCTAATTTACTTTTTGCCTTTGAACTTATTTTCATGGAGCTTGGCAAACACACGTTTTAATTGTTCTATTTAGATATGAGTCCTTCTGTTCCCCAAGAATGATGGTGACCAGGAATGGCCTCTCACCCCAGCCTGGGCCAATCACATTCTCTTCGGGAAATCTCGAATTGCTGCCAAAAGATAATCAAGTAGTTGCTACAAGTGAGTAAATTTAGGGGCAGGTAGAGCCCATGAGATATGTTTTGCCTTTCCTCGCATTGGATTAAGAAGTGGCAAAAGTATACAGGGGTGCTGATGCACAGGGGCCCATGTACCCCAATGTTCACAGCAGCACTCTCAACAATAGCTAAAACATGGAAAGAGCCTAAGTGTCCATCAACGGACAGATGGATCAAGATGTGGTTTAACTATACCATGGAGTACTACATGGCAATGAGAAACAATGAAATCTGGCCATGTGTGGCAACATGGATGGACCTTGAGGGTGTTATGCTGAGTGAAATAAGTCAGGCAAAGAAGGACAGATACCATATGTTTGCATGTATAGGAGGATTAGGAGGAACTTAACGGAGGACCATGGGGGAGAAGAAGGGGGGAAATGGTGGGGGAGGGGGAGGGAGGCAAACCATGAGAGACTCTTGAATGCCGAGAACAAACTGAGGGCTGATGGGTGTGGAAGGGAGGGGAAGGGGGTGATGGGCATGGAGGAGGGCACTTGTGGGGATGAGCACTGGGTGTTATATGGAAACCAACTTGACAATAAACTATTGAAAAAAAAAAAAAAAAGAATAAAATAGGAATGATTATTTTTATGTGATCAGACAATAAATACATATTCTGTGGCATTGTTTAGATGTACTCAAAATCCACAAATACTGATTTGAAAGACAGCAAATAAAAATGTGTATGAAAAAAAAAGAAGTGGCAAAAGTAAAGAATGGCAAATAGCCATTGCTCCCCATCTCCACCTTAGCCCCACCCCCAGGACCCTCCTCCCATACCCCACCCCCAGTCTTTAAAGGGTTAACGTTTGGCACACCAGAGCCTCCAAAGCCACCAAAGCCAGGCTGTGCCTTTCAGGCCACAGGCCTCAGTTCTGATTGATTCGTAAGTAGGCCATTCCAGTTTTTCAGCATTCTGAATATCACCCCCCCCCCCCCCCCCCCCCCCCCCCCCCCCCCCCCCGCCTGATTCCCAATACAGATAGAAACTCTTGTTGCAGACTCCGGCTGAGGCATCCCTCCTCTGCTGTTGAGTGACACCAGCCAGGATGAACCCATATTAAAACACCGGTTAGATCTGAGACTCAATTGTACCATCTGCAGTCACTGAACCCCTTAAAGGGGCAGTTAGTGTTAAACCTCAGAGAAATGCGAAGTTCGAGGCTTCATTTAGCCCCTGACCCCGCAAATCTCTTCCACTTGTCTCCTCCTCTCCTGCCCTACAGCAGTGCCTCAGACCTGGTCAGACCCCCGTCTCATCCCATCTGAGCGAGCATTCCTGTCTCCAGACTCCTTTTCAGTGGCTCTTGGCCATGGCTCCCAGTTCAACCAGGTGAGTGTCTCATCGATGAGTCCCGTTGGTGCTGTGTGGAAGAAAGACACACCTCGTCATTCAATATACTTGTGACCTCAGACAAATTATGTAATTCCAAAACCAAGGTTTCCTCTAACTTACATAGGGATAGTATTACTGTCCGGTCATCCTTTGGGCCGTGACCTCCTGTGATCTGCATTATACCTACCGAGTTGTTTCTCTTCTGCCTGATTGCAAGCTCTTTAGCGCAGGGATCTTTCCATCAACGCCTCATCTGGTTTTGGGTTAACACTAGGCCCTTAGAAAACAAATTCTCCCAGAGCTGAACTGGATCAACTTCCAAACACCAAATTGGTGACAGTGCAGTCAATCCAGATGTTTTCACGTCAGTGGATTATAAACCAAATTGATTTGTTCCTTCGATGAAAGTCAGTAGCCCTGGAATTTTTTTACACAATCCCAATAATTTCTGTGAAACAGTAAATGACTTCTCCCCACCCCCTGCCCCCCACCATAACCAGAGACCGGGGACCAGGAATCGCAGCACGTTCGCACCTTAGCTTGGCAGCCGGCAAAGTAAATGAGCAGGGTGACCCCTCCCAGCAGAGCACATGACCGACTGCAGCTGTTCATGTTTTTTAGCATGACCGCACCAGGACAGGGCTGGGAGCCACTGGGTGGAGCCCTGGAGAGAAAGCTTATGACATTTCCCCTACGATTTCAGAAAAGAAAAGGAAAAAACCCTCTTTTTCTTGTTTCTGCCCAACGTCAACAGAAAACGTCGTATACATACGGATGCACGCATGCGTATGTGCAAGATCCACCACCTCTTGTGCGGGAGAGAATTTACATCGCGGTCAAGGGGCTGCACACGCTGTTAGGTAGCTGCCTCCTCAACAGCCACTCCCTCTTTTTCCTTGATCACAGAATCCCACTCTTATTTGGGGGTGACAACGTATATCCGGCCAGAAGACAGTCTCCCAGCCTCCTTCGGGGGTGCTAGGCTCCAGCCAATGAGATGCGAGCACAAGTGTGTGGCTATCCAAGTAGGCCACTTAAAGGAAGCTAAGTCCATAGAAAAGTGTGCTCCTTTTGACCCTCCTTCCTTCCTCCTTCCCCTGATGAAAGTCGTCTTTCATCAGGTGCTCCAGGAGCCGCCTCAGCACTTGTCGTGAACTTGAGGACAGAAACCACCAGCCAGTATGATGGAGGAGGAGAAGAAAGAGGCTGGTGCCCAATGACCGGGAGCTACAATACCAGCCCTAGACACTGACCTTTCCAACTGCTTCTGCGAAAGAAAAACGAAACAATTAACAACAAAGCCCTCTATCTTGTTCACGCCACTTTAAAAGAAACTCAGTTTTCTGCTACATGCAGCCTACTACGAACCTCATCCTATCCAGGCGGGATATGCTACTTAGCCAGAGCTGCCGTATGAGAGTACAGTGGACCGGGTGGCTTGAACAACAGGACTTTCGTCTTCTCACTGCTCTGGAGGCCAGAAGTCCCGGATGGAGGCGTTCACAGGATTGGTGTTAAATTTTGAGTCTCCTTGGCTTGTAGATGGCGCCCTTCTTCCTGTGTCTTCACATGATCTCTCCCCTGTATGATTATGACCAAATTTCCTCCTTAAATTTTTTTTAAAAAATGGTTATTTTTTCAGAAAGAGAAACAGAGTATGAGTGGGGGACGGTCAGAGAGACACAGAATCCGAAGCAGCTCCAGGCTCTGAGCTGTCAGCACAGAGCCCGACTTGGGGCTGGAACTCCTGAACTGTGAGATCCTGACCTGAGCCAAAGTCGGACGCTTAACCGACTGAGCCGCCCAGGCACCCACCAAGTTTCCTCTTCTTATAGAAGACAGCATACTGGATTGGGAGCGATCTTTGCAAACTTATGTTAACTTCATTACCTCTGTATAGCCTCTTTCTCCAAATACAGTCACATTTTGAGGTACTGGAATTAGGATCTCAACATAGGAAATCGGGGGGAGATGCAATTCAGCCCCTAACATAAGGCACGGATAAAGAGGTTTATTGTGGCTTTTTTTTTTTTTTTGCGGTAATACAAAAACTAGTAAGAAGTGTCCATCAAGTAGGGTAATAGGGAGATAAACTATTGGAAACACACTATTCCAAAGCAAAAAGAAAGTCCATGTTACATTGCTAAGTGAAGGGATGTAAGGAACCAAAATGTTTACCACACTATGCTGCCAGAGACTTACACACAAATGCAACAAAATTTATATGAAACAGATTTCTAGGGACATTTTGGTGTTTAAAAATATATAGGAAAATGTATACAATATGTGACAAACTACTTGACTGGAGGGCAGTTGTGGGGTGGAGCAGAATATTTGGAACTCTGTATATCTGACTATCTTACAACTACAGTGTCTATTTCCATGTCTTTTTTACATAATTAACAATTTAAAAGAAACATCAGCAGGTAAGGCCACTTAAAACTCAAGTAATTTGAAAGCATCTCTCCACACTCTACTTTTAAGTGCGAAACAAACAAAAAAACACTCAGCTTTAAAATGCATTAGTCAGAGCCTGCAGTATTAAGTTAAAATCAGACAAAATACGGAAGCTGTCTTAAAAATGAAAAGCAACGGTTAAAAAAAAAAAAAAAAAGTCGTATTCGCGTCCCAGAGGCGACCGTGACCCTGAAAGCTGGTAGGGCTGCCTCCCCTGTGACCGAGAGCAGAGCGCGGCCTGTCCGTGACCTTGAGAAGGCTGAGCCACCTGCCACTCACCGCCGGGTAAGCGGCGGCGGGAGACGGACAGGAACCCCCGCCGGGCCGCAGCGGCCTCCCCGGCCCAGGCCGCCCCCGACCCCCCCAGTTCCTGTCGCAGGCAGAAACGGGGGCCGCTCGAGGCGCTGTCGGGGGCTCCCGGACGCCCGGGGGGACCAGAGGACGGGGCCCGCACGTCCGACAGAAAAGGACACGCCCCCGCCAGCAGACGAGCGGGCGCGGCGGCCGCACCCCGGCGGAGGCCCAGCGCCTCGCCGCGACCGCGGGGGGGGGGGGGGGGGGGCGGAGCGAGCCAAGACGGCGCGGGGGCGGGGCCTGCGGCGGAGAGTACGAGGAGGGGCCCGGTAGGCCGGCGCGGGGCGGGGGCGGGGCCGGAAGGCGAGCCCGGGGGCGGGGCGTGGTGAGCGGGCGCGCGCCAGGAGGCGGGCCAAGGGGTGGGGCCTACGGCCGGGCCGACGCGAGCCGGGAAGCGGGTACGAGGCGGGGCCTGGTAGGTCTGCGTGAGGCGGGGGCGGAGCCGGAAGGCGAGCCCGGGGGCGGGGTCTCTAGTGGGGCGGACGCCGGCCAGGAGGCGGGCACGAGGCGGGGCGTGATAGGCCGGCGAGGGCCGGAGGCGGGGTCGGAAGGCGAGCTTGGGGGCGGGGCCCGGCGGCGCGCGCAAGCGTGGTCCCCGCGGCGGCACGGCGAAGATGGCTGCCTCCGGCTGGGCGCGCGCCGCCCTGGTCCTTCTCTGCGCCTCTGAGCTGCTGCTGCCGCCGCTGCCGCCGCGGGCCTGCGCCGCCGAGGGCGCGGCCGGGACGCCCGGCGAGGCCAGCCCGCCTCCGCGGAAGAAGAAGAAGGATATTCGCGACTACAACGATGCGGACATGGCGCGTCTTCTGGAGCAATGGGAGGTCCGTGCGCGCGCACCCGCCGCCTCCCGCGGTCCGGGGCCCGGCTCCCTCTGACCTCCGGCCGCTCTGCCCGGGCGCCCTCCACACCCCGCCCCGGTGCCCGCCCGCCCCCTGCCACCCTCTCTGCCACGGCCCGGCGGCCTTGCCGCCTCGCCCCAGGCTCACCCCAAAGCCCCCTTGCGCCCTTCCGGGGCCTCGCCCTACTTTCTCGGCGCCCCCGGGGTCACCGAGCCCGGCACGTGGGTAGGGGGCCTTAGCACGGTGCTCCTCGGGGGTGGGCCGAGGGTCGTCTCCCCTTCACGGGCTCTCTCGGCTTCTGGACCAGTAGCACTTCAGACTCCTCGTTTCGGTGTATTCCCTGTTAAGGGTTTTGTAATTTGGGGAGTGGAGGGTGGAGGTCAAAAGCTGGTGCTCACATTTCGTTTAAAGGCGGGGAGACTTGTTTTTGTGAGAGTAGGATTTTTGGTGTGTTACCTGAATGTTCTGTAGTGGGTGATGAGGTTTTTAGATGAGGTTCACGGAAGGAAAGCACGCAGTGCCGTTTTTCCCTTGCAGAGTGGTTGTAACGCCCCTGGCTTATTTGCAGACTTGGTGGAGTGGAGTCCGAAACTTGGGTTCTTTTTTAAAGTTTACTTATTTATTTTGAGAGAGAGAGGGAGACAGAGCATGTGTGCGGTGGGGGCAGAAAGATGGGGAGAGAGTTCCAAGCAGTGCAGGAGTGTGAGGCAGGGCTCAAACTCAGGAGCCCTGAGGTCAGGAGTCAGCCTTAACCGACTGAGCCACCCAGGCGCCCCAAGAAACTTGGGCTGCTGGCTGTGTAACCTTGGGCAAGTCCCGTTTCCCCTCTGGGCTTCAAGTTCCTTATGTGCAGAATGAGGTTTTGCCCGCCGATGCCTCTTCCCAGGCTGATGTCTCTTATTTTGTGGTTATTTCCGTGTGCATGGCCTGTGTGATAGAGGCTTTCGGATGTGAGTTTAAAATACCATCCAATGAATTTGACTAGGAGAAAGCGGACTTGTACTTTCGTGTGTATCTGCCTGATGGCAAGGTGGGAGTAGATGGGAGTGCGCCCGGGGAAGATATGCGTGTGCACGGGGTAGATGCGAGTGTGCGCACCGCTAACGGAGAGGGAACTTCACGCAGGAGCTCCTTGCCCGCTTACTGTCTCCTTGCAATCGCCCACCCGTTTACGGTGCAGCTACTGAAGTGTTGGGTTCCTGAAGTCGGAGCGCTGCCTCTAGAGGAATTAATTCTACCTTGAAGTACTGAGTTAGAAGGGTGCTGCGGAAAGAAAGTGCTGGGGACTTCCAGAGGGCCCCAGGGAGGCAGGGCACCTGGGCTAGAGGCAGGGCCATGTGGAGACGGGCGGCGAGCTGGGGGTGGGGCACTCGGGCACCCGGTACCTAGAGCACAGGCTTGTCAGCTAGACTGCCTGGGTTCAAACCGCTTGTGACTTCGGAGGGTGAGAGTGTCCTTACCCACCAAATAGAGGCACTGGCAGTGCCCACCTCCGGAGCTGAAGGATTCGCGGAGAAAACCTGGGAAGCACGTAGGGTGGTGCCACCGGGGTGGAAGGCCACGTCTGGCGTTTGCAGCCGGGACGGTGGGAGGGAGGGTGGGACCAGGCCGTGCGGGGCCCTGATGAGGTGGAAAAGCCGAGTGACGCGGGTACTGCCCTCGCGGAGCGCTTCCGTGTGATCGCTGGTTCCGAGGGCTGACGCGCCACTCGCTCCTGCGCCCCCCTCGCTCCTGCGCCCCCTCAGCTCAGAGCCTGGCATCGGTGTCCTTCCCGCTGCTGCTTTTCTCGCTCGCGTGTTCAGTGTTTTCCTGGGCTGCTGCACAGCCTTCGTCACGCTTCTAGAGGCTTCAGAGCGCGCCCCGAGTGCGCTTTCGGCCATGGGAGGTCCTTGAACAGTGGGCCGTCATGGTTAGAGAAGCGACTGGTCGGCGTAGTCTAGGAGGGTACGCAGGGAGAACGAAGGCGGAAGCAGCTTCCTGGTTAATGCTCGCTGAGTTTTCAGGAGCCAGCAGGATGCTCTGGGCACATGCACTCATTTAATGAGCTCACCCTGCTCTCTAGATGAGGACACTGCAGCACAGAGAGGTTAAGTGACTTGCCCAAGGTCACATAGCAAATAAGCTGATTGACTCTCAGGCCTGTTCTCTGCACCATTTTACTGCCCTGCTGGGCACATTGCTGAACACAGTGAAGGTGGGAGGGGAGGGGAGGGCCTGCCCTAAGCTGGAATCTCCAGGGTCTGAGAGGAAGGGAGGAATGTGAGAGGGAGCGTGCTCACCTTGTAGCTGGGTGATTGTGTGACCCGGCAGGAGACAGCACAACTGGCTGAAGGGACGGGGGTTTGGAACCTGGCTTGACTGCTTGGTAGATGGCACCCTCATTTCCTTAACCATGAAGCCGGGTAAGCTCCCCCTTTGGGGGGGTGCCGTGCAGACAACATGGGCTAGTGTTTGTGGAGCATCCACAAGTGTGAGCGCCCTCCCCGGGAGCAGTGACTGTTCTGAGGGGGAGACAGCGCTTCTGCCCCGGGGTGGCCCCTAAGCCCACCCCCACCCCTTCCCACTGGTGTGAGCGCCGTTCTTCCATGGAGAGGCCTGCCTCCCTCACGCCCGAGCAGGTGAACAGGGAACCCTCTTCACTGAGTCCCAGTTGGCATAGGAAAACCGAAGGCAATTCTTTCATTTTACCTTCCAGTCAAGGGCAGGTGGGGCGCGGACCCCAGAAACTGTGGGTTTGCCCTTCAGTGTCACCCCTGCTGGCATGTGGCCTTGGTGGCTACTGCTCCTCCCCGAGGCTCACCTGCCTCATCTGTCCCGCGGGGGCCCTGCAGGGCTGTGCTGCTGGGGGCGGGGAAGACAGGGTCTGCGGGAGGGGGAGTTCAGTTTTGTGACTATTGAACTTGACCATGGGGAGGCCTGGAGGCAGGGCTGGGACTGGGGAGTGCCTGACCGCCCCAGGCCCTGCCCTGCCCGGGGGTAGGGGCTTGATTGCTGCTGTGGGAGAGGAGATAAGGAGAGAAGAACACGCTGCCCAGGGGAGAAGCTGACCCGCAGAACTGGACCGTGAGCCTCCGGCTGCTGCTCCTCCCGCGGAACACACAGGGGCGCCTGGAAGACGGGATTAAAGTTGTTAGAAGCCTTCCGCACCCTTGCTGTAGGAAAAGAAGTGCTGTGTGTGACCTCCTGAGTTAACTTCAGGACCCGTAGTGAAGCGGGTGTGAAGACTACAGATGTTCTAGGTTTCTGAGCCCACTCGCGTCTGGGGTGTTTTGAGGTACCGGTCGTGGGCCTGACCCCTGGGTGTTTATGGCCTGCCTTTTTGTCACTGGACCCCCAACCCCTAGGAGGGAGATGCCCCCCCCCCCCCGCCCGGGTATAGGTGGTTTTCCAACCTGCTGGGATCCTCTGACAGCGCCGCACGTGCCTCTGGGCCTCTTGAGCAGATGCTCCGCACCTTGTGCTGGTCGGTGCCGCGGCCGAGGTGGGGGCCACCTGGTTCTGCTTTGTGTGGACAGGTGAGGAACAGGCCAGGCAGGCCGCCCAGAGGCTGGTTGGGTGGGGCTCGCGCAGGGTCCCGGGGCTGCTGCGAGCGCGGTCACCTTAGGGCACCGCTGTACGTGCCCCCGTGGGTATCTTAGTAGCGCGTTAGTGTCGACGTCCTCTGACTCCTCAGGAGGACCAGGCAAGAGAGACACACGGGCTCTGTGTCATTTTGGGCCGGCCGTTCTTCGGGGTGTTTGATAGCTGCTTTATCGGAGAGAATTCGCGTGCCCTGCAGCTTAGCCACTTAACGCGTGCATTTCCGCAGTGGCTTCAGAGGGCCGTGCGCCACCACCGCCGTCCGTGGCAGGACATTTCCATCACCCCAAAGAGGTCTCGTCTCCGTCAGCCTCCCCGCCTTCTCCCCACCCTCAGCCCCCGGCAGCCTCTGCCCTCTGTCCTGTCCAGTCCTGGGCATCTCGTAGCAGTGGCCCCGCGCAGCGTGCCCTCCCGCGCAGGGCCTCCGTCACTTGGTGCAATGTCCTCAGGGGCCACCCGTTTCCACTCCCAGAGCGTCGCATCATCTTGTGCTGGTTTATTGGGCTTTTCTCCGAGGAGCTCTGGTTCTTGGATGTTTTTATTTATCGCTCTCTCTGCCTGCCTGCCGCCCCGTGAGGCATCACCCGGTCCCTCTGACACCACAGGGCGTGGGCCTCCTGTGGCTCTGCCCCAAGGGGGGCCCGGTGTCCTGTCCTTGGTGCATCTACTCCTTCGTTCCAGCCTGGAGGTCACAGCTGTGGCGTCAGAAGTGTAGTTCACACCGTGCACAAACCAGGCCTGCTAACCTGATGGAGCGTTTGTTCACGGCTCTTGTTTTTTTATTGAAAATTATATTTAATGTGTATTTATTTTTGAGAGAGACAGACAGACATTGCACATTGGGGAGGGGCAGAGACAGAGGGGAGACAGAATCCGAAGCAGCTCCAGGCTCTGAGCCGTCAGCACAGAGCCCGACGTGGGGCTCGAACCCACGAACCAGGATATCATGACCTGAGCCGAAGTCGGAGCCTCAGCTAACCGAGCCCGGTGCGCCCCGGGCAGTTCTTAGTTTTCAGCTGGCTTTGGCCCACGTGACACGCAGGTGTTAAGTACGGACTGCAGGGCCCTGCCCAGTGGACACGTGTGCTGCCCACACCCCTGCAGGGTGGAGACCATTCCATCATCTCAGAACGTTCCCTTTTGCCCTGTCCCAGTCAGAACCCCCTCAGCCCCCCGCCCACAGGCCCCCCTGTTCTAAATGTCTTGATTTTGTTTCGTCTTGAACTTTAAGTAAGTTTATACAGTGTCTGATTCTGTGCCTGGCTTCTGTCGCCCAGTATTGTCGTGTTGGGGTTCAGGGCACATGATCACGTTTTCGCTTCTCCGCTGTGTCGTACTTCCTGCAGCACCCGACCGGAACGTGGCTGTTGGTACAGCCGCCGGATTGGGCAGATTCTTTGAGGCTGTCACACGGGGGCCTCAGGTATCAGTGACCTGGAGTGACAGGTGGTGGGTCCTGCCTGGGACTGGGACTTCACTTGGGGGTCAGGTAGAGGAGGGGAGCCCCGGTTTCCTCTTCCTGCTAATGGGGGTCACGGCCACCCCTGTCTGCGCTGTTCGACAAGCCCGTTTCTGGTGACGGTGACGCTGTGTTTTGTTCTCTAACAGAAGGACGACGACATAGAAGAAGGGGACCTCCCTGAGCACAAAAGGCCCTCGGCTCCCATTGACTTCTCCCAGATAGACCCGGGCAAGCCCGAGAGCATCCTCAAGATGACGAAGAAGGGGAAGACGCTCATGATGTTCGTCACCGTGTCCGGGAGCCCCTCCGAGAAGGAGACGGAGGAGATCACCAGCCTCTGGCAGGGCAGCCTGTTCAACGCCAACTACGACGTGCAGAGGTGAGGTGGTGGGCAGAGGTGAGGCGGCGGGCAGAGGTGAGGCGGCGGGCCTGCTGAGATGCTGTGGGCAGCGCTGGGCCTTCCCCGAGTCCGGAGCGGAGCCCTTTTGGGCGCTGCTGCCTCGGGTCCAGGACCCTCCCGTCTCGGCTCCTCTTCTGTGCTTGTTCGTTTATCCCCTTTTTTGTCATTCTCTAAAGAAGAGCGTTTATTATTGGTCAAGGCCAGTAGTGAGCCTTTTTTTTTTTTTTTTTTAAAGCATCTTATTTGATCCTAAAATTGTAGTTGGCTTTATGTTTTTAAATTTTTTTCTGAGCGCAGCTGACACATGTTCCGTTAGTTTCGGGCGAATGACGAAGGACTTGTCGGCACCGTGTGCTCTGCTCCTCACCCCCCACCCCCCCATCACCACGCAGCACCAGAGCTGTGTCTGTGACTCCTGTTTCATCTGAGGAGGCCTGGACGGTTGGCCCCTGGGGGCACACTGCCTGCAGCAGGACACGGTGCCCACCCCCCACCCCCGAGGTTTCTCCCCCGGAGGGTGCTCCCAGGTGTGGCCGAGCTTGCACATGCTCAGACCAGCCTGCTAACGGATAACCGACCCGAGGCCGGGGCTCAGGGCCTCCTAGCTCAGTACGATCCTGAGATGCCGTTTTAGGGAATTGTCTTTTTCCTCCTCACTCACATTTTGGAAGTTCAGGGTCTTCAAGGGTTCTTAGTTTAGGAAACATAAGGATGGACGAACACGAAGGTGCAGCCAGAGCGTTTGCGGCCGTACAACGCTCGGTGCCTTCGTTGGTGTAAGTGCACGCCGAGGGGGCCGGTCCGCACGCCGGGGACGCACACTGAGCCACCGCTCCTCTCTGCAGGGGGTCGGGGGGAAGGCGTCCAGGAGCCCCCATGTGCCTGCCGGCCACACCACTGCGCCACCCGGGCCTTGTTCTCTTCCTCCCTGCCCCTTGGGGCCTGTTGAGTGCTGGCGGCTCCTCGGGGCCACGCGGCTCTGTCTCTGTGTCCGGAGCGGAGGGGCCAGTCGGGCAGGTCACTCAGCTGGTGCCGTGATCGCAGGCGTCAGTAGCTTCCAGGCCGCGAGGGCCGTAGTGCTCTGTTCCGTGTTCAGTTTGAAAGGCGTTACTTGCCCTGGTGACGTGCGCAGGACGGCTCTGCCCCGGCTGCGCCTTACCGCCGTGTCCCCACCGCGTGTCTCTGCAGGTTCATCGTGGGGGCCGACCGTGCCATCTTCATGCTGCGGGACGGGAGCTACGCGTGGGAGATCAAGGACTTCCTGGTCAGTCAGGACAGGTGCGCCGACGTGACGCTGGAGGGCCAGGTGTACCCCGGGCGTGGAGGCGGCGGGCACAAGAGCAAGACCAAGCAGGAGAAGGGCAAGAAGAAGGGGGGGGACCCGAGGTCTCAGGCCAAGGCTGTGAAGGAAGACAGTCGCGCTGGGAGTAAGAGGGAAGAGCTGTGATGGGCCCCGGCCACTTCCGGGACGGGCGGCCACCGGGCGCGGGCAGGAGCCGCTCCCTGGGGCATCCTGCCCGCTCCTGGAAGGGCTCTGCCGTGTGACCAGTTTGGGGTCCACGTGAGAGTTACTGTTTCAGAGGCGCCAGGCAAGAAGACAGAGGCCTTGTCATTAACATTGGACAGTGACACATTCGAGCTTCCTGTAAAGTCACTGGTGGTGGAAACCTGACAGTTGCTTTTCCCTTTGGGTCCGGGGGAGTCGCTGGCCCCTGAGGCACCCCCTCCCTGCCCGGCTCTGCCCCGGGGCTCCGCTGTGTCCGGGCTCCCCTTGTTTCCACCAGCTGAACGCCCGCTGGGTGCCAGATGGATGGACGCTGTCTGTGGGGCCGGGCCCCGGGGCCTTTGGACACCGTTTCCGTGACACTGAACTTATGCGCTTACACAGCGCTCCAACCTCACCCGCGCCGTACGGTCAGGACACGGGGCCCGCACGTGCGCGGGGCGTGAGGTGACATCCTGTCCGGGGGATCCCAAGTACTGGCCTGAACTCTGACTGGGACCCCAGTTCAGGCTCAGGACGAGCCTTGGGAGCGGCCGGTGTCGTGTGTCTGTGAGTCCGGGAGGTCCGCCTCTGTCCTGTGTAGGGCGCCTGCGCGGGCGGCGAGGCTCCGGCGTGCCATTCGAGGCGACGACTGTAAAGGGAGTAACTCGGGAGTCGCGGAGTGTGACGGAGGCCTCAGTAACCTCATCATTTCTGAACATTTTTCTGTGATAAAGTGCCTAAATTTGTGGTGTGTTTGTGTGGCCCTAATGCTCTGCTAACATCTGGTTTGCTGTTTGTAGAATTCATACACGGTGTCGTTTCTAAGAACCCAGATTATTTGTACAGAACTTCCGTCGCAGTTTTAAGAAATTAAAAAGGGCACGTGGACGTGCTCAGGAAACGTCACCGGGGAAGGACGGTCCAAGGAGAAAAGTCTGTGCCCGGCCCCTGCCACCGCCGCCGTGTCTCAGTCCTTAATTTGTTCCCAAAACAGGAGTTCACTTCCCAGCCTGTAGCGATGTGTCTGTGCGGCGTCACGGCGTCCGCGAAGCCCGCCCTCTCCGGGGAGCTGGAGCCGAGCCCCCCGCCCCGTCCTCAGGAGGGGCCCCTGCGCCAGGCGAGGGCGAGGGGCGCTCCCCTCCGCGCTCTCGGTGTCTCCCTGGGCCATGCGTCGCGAGTCCGTCCTGCAGCCAGGGCAGGGCAGTGTCCTGAGCGGACAGGACCACGCTGCCCCCCCGGCCCCGCGTAGTGGCCTGCGCCTGGCAGTGCTCCCACGGCGGGACGTCCTGATCCCGCTGCGCCTGTGCGGGAGGCGCCCCCGTCCCCCGGGGTTCAGAGTGTCTCTTACGTGCTGTGGGGGCCGGGCACAGCCTGGACACGGCCCCTGCTGCCCTGAAACTTGGCGACCTGGTGGGGGAGGACCAGTCTGCATCACACACAAAGTGGCAACGGATAGATGAGAGAGGTCCACGGACCCTGAGGTGGGGCGGCAAAGGGGGGCGCGTCGGGATGTCAGCGGGGCCCTCCCTGGGGCAGGAGCAAGGAACGGTGTGTCCGAGCAGCAGCCACCTGAAGAGGGAGGAGGTACGTGGGGTCCTGCGGGACTTTGGGGTGCCCTGGCGGTTCTCAGCTGTGGTGGGCTGAGCTCGGGCACAGTCCACTTGGAACCTGGCTGCACTGAAGTCTTGATGGCAAGCGGCCCCCAGGGGGTGAGGGTGGTGCTGACCTGTGCCCCACAGCGGACCTGCGCGCTGCCTACTGGTGCGCCCTCGTGTTCGGTTTTCAGGATTTCGTTAGTACGTGGAGCCGCCCTGTGTTTTGGTAAACTTGTTTATATCTGAAGGGCAGACTCCTCGCCCGGGGGCCGCCGGGACGAAATGAAGGTGACAGTTCGCTGGGTGCTGCCAAGCTGCTGTCCCAGTACTTCTGGGACCTCGTCCCTTTGCCAGCAGTCTCCGGTCCTGCGGGTGCTGGGCATCGCCCTTGGCCAGCCTCATACATGCAGAACCCCTAGCTTGATGGGCTACCCTGACGCCACGAGCTGGAGAGGCCCTGAGGGGACAGAGATGCCAGGGAGCCCCCATTAACCCCCCGTGTCCACCCAGGTCCCCGTGTCCGCCCAGCCCCCCCCCCGTGTCCGCCCAGCCTCCCCCATGTCCACCCAGGTCCCGGTGTCCGCCCAGCCCCCCCGTGCGCGCCCAGCCCCCCGTGTCCGCCCAGGGCCCGTGTCCGCCCAGCCCTCTCTGTGTCCAGCCCACGTGCACATGTGTGAGCCTGGGAGCCTTCAAATACTTGTGGCCCCAGCCCCGAGACTTTCCGGAGACGGCTGTCAACAGCTGTTCTGCCAGCTGCAGATTCACGACCAAGAGAAATTTGTTTGAGGGAGGTGGGGGGAGGGCGCGCGCACATAGGGAGGTGGGGGTTGTGCGCACATAGGGAGGTGGGGGAGGGCGCGCGCACATAGGGAGGTGGGGGAGGGCGCGCGTAGGGAGGGAGGTGGGGGTGCGCGCACATAGGGAGGTGGGGATTGTCCGCACTAAGGGAGGTGGGGGGAGGGGGTTTGCACATAGGGAGGTGGGGGAGGGCGCGCGCACATAGGGAGGTGGGGGTTGTGCGCACATAGGGAGGTGGGGGGAGGGCGCGCGCACATAAGGAGGTGGGGGTGTACGCACATAGGGAGGTGGGGGATGGCGCGCGCACACAGGGAGGTGGGGATGTACGCACATAGGTACAGCTACATACGCAGGTTTACCCCTGCTGGTTCTTGGTGCTTTTCATGTCTTGATCCAGCGCGGGCACAAGGCGGCACCAGAACGTCACTGGAGACTCGGCCTCCCCCTCCTGCCCCTGGTGTGTGATGCTTGTGCTGTTCTCCGCGCTTCTGGTGGTTGCGTTTATATATACTGTCACATCTCTTGCTATTTTTTTTTTTCAAAGCTTATTTTTGTTTGTTTATTTTGGGAGAGGGGGAGAGAGAGAATTCCAAGCAGGCTCCATGCTGCCGGCGCAGAGCCCTCCTCGGGGCTTGAACTCATGAACTTTGAGATCATGGCCTGAGCTGAGATTGAGTTGCTTCACCAACTGAGCCATCCAGGTGCCCCAAACCTCTTGTTTTGTTTTTGTATTTCAATTAAACCACCCTCACTAGTGTGCATTAACCCCTAACCAAGGCCGGGAACTCACACTCTCTCCTCTCTCTCCGACTCTGGTCCGTCGTCATGCTTGTAGTGGCCCAGGGCCCACTGGCTTTCTCTTTAATAGTGACTGTTTTTTCTCTCAGATTCCTGGGGGTCCTTCCTCATTGCTAAGGTGCAGTAATTTCGCTAAGAAGGCTTATTTTTGATTTTCCTTTCTTTCCTTCTTTTCCTTTTAATTCTCATAGAACATGATGTGTTATTTTCAGTTGCAGATTCAGGGTTTGTTTTTCCCCTTTACCGTTGTGGAAACAGTTATTTTTGTATTGGGGTTTTGGGGACCCTTTTTTTTTTTTTTAGTTCTGAAATGAGAATTTTTTTCTTTAGTTTCATTCTGGTTTTAATATCAGCTGTTTTTATTAAAATTCAAGGTTTTATTAAATTTTTTGAACTCAGCAGGGGGTCTGGGGGCCTCAGTCGGTTAAGCATCCGACTTGGACTCAGGTCATGATCTCATGACTCTTGAGTTCGAGCCCCGCGTCGGGCTGCTGACAGCTCAGACAGAGCCTGGAGTCTGCTTCCAATTCTGTCTCTCTCTCTCTGTCTCTCTCTCTGTCTCTCTCTCTCTCTGCTCATGCTCTGTCTCTGTCTCTCAAAAATAAATAGACGTTAAAAAAAATTTTTTTTTAATTTTATGAACTCCAGGAGTCCAAATGGAGAATCTCCCCCTTGAATTTTTTTCCCCCTCCAGAATAGAATCTTTTTCTCAGTTTGTAAGTATATTCTTCTGTTGTTTTATTGCAAATGTTTGGGTGGCTGCCATACGGTGGTTTTCCCTCCTGTTCGTGCTCAGCAGATACGGCCTTTCCCAGGCCTTGGTCTCCGCGTCTATTTTAGGTGAATTCTGAGCCTCCTTGCTCCTGAGCGCCGCTTTGTGCCCAGGGACACTGCTGGGCAGGGCCGGGCCCGGGAGGGGCTCGCTGCAGGCACACGGGGCTCCAGTGTCGCAAGGCGCAGCCACCAAGATGAAGTCTATTTCAATGCTGTATTTAAAACGTTGAGTGTGAAAAAACCGACAAAGTGGCCGTGTTACAGGCAGAATCGACAGTGCGGGGGTCAGGGTGAGCGGTGAGGTCACTCTGCACCTGCGTGGGGTCCCGTCGTCTGTCTGAAAGCAGGGCACCTCCGTCAGCACGTCCTCTGTTGTAGGAGTCCACATTCCCCACTGCCCGGGTCCTTGCTTCCATACCGGGAGCCGAGCCTTGTTTTTACTAAGACAGTATGACAGTGGTGTTAAAAGATCTCTATAAAAGGAGAATTTCAGCAACGAATACGCCACCCCAGCTCTTGAAGCTCTTTCACCCGACCACGCTTCCTCCCAGGAAGAACATCATCTGTGCACTTCGTCATGGCGGGAAGAGAATTTTGTCACTCTGTAATAGAGTTCCCGTGGTGGCACGCCGACTCCGTGCCGGACGTGGATGTCTGGCGGCTGTGCCGTGTCCGTGCTTCTGCTGGGACAGACGGGGGCGTCCAGCTTGAGCTCACTGCCCACGTCCCCTTCAGGGACTGTCTGCTCCCACCTGCGCCCACCCTGCTCGCACAGTGACCCTACTCCGCTCCCAGCGCAGTGGCCACGGCCATCCGCACCGGAGGGGGACCCCACGCACCGGGGTGGCGCGTTGGAGCCTCTCAGCCGGACGCTGAGTGATTGGGTAGCTGAGTCACTGAGAGCAGAGCACCTGCACTGGAGGTTTCAGGGCCTGTGTGGGTGAAGTTTCAGATTTGCCCTGAGTCTCCCACCTTCTCCTGGGTCTGGATTATTTAGGCTGTGACCCCAGGTTCTGAGAGCTGGGTCCTTAAGATAAACTGTCCACAGGGGCTACTTGGGGGAGATTTCTGTCAGCCTAACCCCCACCCCTGCCCCAGGCTGACTTTTCTGATTCCGTGTATCCCTTTCAAGAGAGGGTCGATCGAAGCAGGGATGCAGAGACCCTGGCACTGGGCCGTATCCTTGCTCTCTGTGTGTCTTTCTGTACTGTGGAATCTTCGAGCCCCTTGTAGGTACTCACAGTCATAAACTGAAGTTAGCTTTTGCCTCCCGTAAGTTGAGTTGTTCAGGATTGGCTCCCAGAGTCCTGGGACAGAGAGCCTGCTTGTGCTGTGTGCCATCACTTTATTCCCGCTTTGCACCTGTCACTGGCAGTATGTGAGAAGACCCATCCAGTCTGCCCAACGCCGACTGGAAATGGGTTTCATTTTTTAATTCATCAGTGTATTTATTTGTTTAAAAAATACTTACCTCACCTACATGCCAGCCATGGTTCAACAGAGATAAGGCAGTAATTTATTTTAATTTGCATGCCTTTAATTACTAAGTTTTCCTGTTCTCTGTGCTTACTAAAAGTCACTTCCTCCTGTGGAAATGATTTGTTTTTATTAAAAATAGGAATTATTTTATTTTGTTTTTAGTTTGAGAGGGAGAATCTCAAGCAGGCTCCGTGCTCAGCACAGAGCACAACACTGGGCTCCATCCCATGACCCTGGAATCATGAACTGAGCCCGAATCAAGAATCGGTCTCAACCGACTGAGCCCCCCAGGCACCCCAGAAATGATGTGTTCTTATCTTTCATCGCTTCATCTACTGGTGGATTCTGTTAAACAAAAGCCGTGTGCTGGATGCTGGCTGGACTTGGCGAGGACTATTCCCTGCTGTTGCAGCCACAGAAAGCGAGTTGTCCCCACCTGTGAGCAAGGACACCCGGGGGTTT